AAATAAATCCAAGAGGGAAGACCACTCGTTCTTCCCTCTTGCCCATTGGCACTTCGTTAAGCTTAACGCCCATGTACACCATTTTGTGATCGAATATTCCTAGGCTTGTGCGAATATTCAAATGAATAGTAGAGTATTCGAATCTGCTTTGATTCAAATTTAAATTATTAAAAATTTCGAAGTATTCGCAAGGAACTAATTGGTGCATATTAGTCTAAATGTACTGACTGTAGAAGTGTATTCACTACAGTATATAGGTGCTGAACCGCCAAAGCACCTATCCAGGAGAAATCCGCTCTGCCGCGAAGCCCCCTTTCATATTTAAAGGGGCCCTGCAACACTTTTTGAGCATTGTCAGAAAGCGCTGCCGATTGGTTGTCAAGGTTATTGAGGACACGCAAGCCAAATATTATAGCGCAGCACGCAGTGTGCGATTTACAATAAATTCTCAAGGTCAGCTAAAAGTTGCTCTCTTCTCTTGGCAAATGACTCCTCAAGCATAAAAAGCACGCGTGATGTAGTTGCTTTTCCTGTGCCATTCTTCTCTGCTTAGCTTCCGGCGCTTTCCACAGGACGAGAAGAGAGAACAAACTTCCTGCATGCAAGAATTTTTCGCAACTGGACGGATTCTAAGAATTTTCGTGGTGGTGAATTTATGAGGCAATAAGCTTCTTTAGTGAATCCATTCCATGGCTACTTGAAGAAGTGTCGCAAAACCCCTTTAATATAATATATTACCCTCAAATCAATTGATTTTATTAAGCTTAAAAGCATGTTATGACGGCTTATATGCTCCAAGTATAATAAATTTCAAAATGATATGTATTTTAATGGTTATGGCTCACATCCTGCTAAAAGTCTAATTCTGCTACTACGTACTGAAATTTTTTTCGACTTCCTTTGAATGGAAAAAAAAAAATGGCATTTGCATAGAAGCCCTATTTTAATTTTTTTAAAATATTGTGCAGGTTTGTTAGGTCATGATAAATATGCCCATTTTTCTTTATATGTTTTGACAAAAATTATTTGACAAAAATACTATTCGCTTTGAACCTAAAATTGACTATTCGCACAAGCCTAGATATTCCATCAAGCACACAACGCAGCATGCTGTTCGTCACACGACACAGCATGCTGTTGTCTGAAAAAAAGATCCAGAGTTGAAGCAGCAGTATTCTGTATGTGGGTGGGTTGCTTAACTGGTTAGGTTAAATCATGAAAAAAGACTATATATGTAAGTGTTTAGCTTCATTGAAAGACTATACAGGAAAATCTGGATCCTATGTTACTGAGGGGCGTTAAGTCGCCACTTGGTATTATACTGCTCGAGTAACCGTGGAATGTGCAAAGAAATTCAATAAGCTTATCAAAGAATGCTTCGTCAGTGCCTGGAAGGTGGTAAAATCAGCTGACTATGAACTTCAGATCAACGGTATCTACCCACATTATAACTCATTGAAGATCTGGTGTATTGGCTAATGTTTCAACTTGCAACATTTCTTTAAACATGATTGCCACTCTACTGCCTTGAGTACTCCTGTCTTTATAGCAGACACGGTAGCCCTGAGATGTGACGAGATAACGAATGCCAGTGCATAGCCAGGTTTCGGTAATTTTCAAAAGATGACGGTGATATGTTGACATAATGCTGTCTAACCCAACTTGTTTTTTTTTATATAGCACTAGGGGCATTGATACTGAAGCATACAAAACGTTTCCTATTGTTCTTGTCGTTTTATTTTTTGCATTTCATTTAATACTGGCAAGCGGTGCGCACGCAGAGACCGTTTCAAGCTGTACTTCATCTAATGTAAGTAATGGATTCTCAATCTTAACTTTTAAATGCGAATGCATTTCTTAGTCGGGCTATTTGAGGCGTTCGTCCGGATCCGTCCACAGCCCTCTTCCATAGCAACAGTTGCAGGTGGGCGTCCCTCGCAACCAGCCCCCACACCGTGTCATGTTTCGGCGTCGGCAGCTGTCAGCAACAGCTGCGGGCGCGCGTGCTTATCCTTGCTCCTAGCAACCGGAGCCCCCCACCTCTTTGACTTGAACGTGACTTGCCACCGCCTCAATCAATGCAGTGCATTTGAAACACGTTTGTAGCGTTTGTGTTGCCAGCATTTGTGTAGCATTTGTGTTGATAATATGCTGACATTATAACCGTCAGGTACAATGACAGGTGCAATGTTTCACCACTCCTTCTCTCAACAATCGCTCTCTCTCTCCTGCCTGCACCCCACTTTCCCGGCCGAATGACTGAAGCGCGGGCCTCACTGTTGTCCTTTGGCTGGCTGGGTGCCTCTCAAGGCAATTGCAGAAGTCAGTGAATGCGAATGTCTGACAGCAGCGGTACTCGTTGTAAGAAGTGTCACACAATCCAACCTGAGCATTACACCTCTCGCTAGAGGTGGCATCACTGCAGTAGCTTCAACGTTGTCATCAACCGGAGGTGAAGAAGCAGAAGACAATGTTGCGAAGCAAAGAGCTCGTGATGCCGAATGCAAGCCAGCTAAGCGAGCGGTCGATACCAAACTCTGTGCTCAGCTAAAAAGCGCGTGATGCCGAACGAAAGCGAGCTAAGCATGCTGCCGATACCGAACTCCGTGCTCGGTTAGCCGCTGCGAAACGCCAATGCCGTGCCGAGTATCCGAAAATGTGTGCTCGATACACCGCTGTGAAACATCAACGAACCGAAAATGCCGAAGTTCGTGTCCGAGACACGGCGGAGAAACGTTAACGGCGAGCCACAGATCCTCGTGTGAAGCAGCGAGAGGCAGGAGTCCAAGCGGCAACGACGGCAGGCTCCCTGTCACTTGCGTTCTCCGTGGCGCCACGCAAGCGGCGGTGTCCACTTGGCAGTTAAGGCAGTCGGACACGCGTTTCGAGCACAACTTCGAGGACCACAGCTTTGGTCACAGCTGCAACGTTTGCGATCAGTTGTGGTTAAACAACAATCTGAGCGTAATCAGGAACATCAAGAAATGCTATGCAGTGTGCCTCCGCCGTGCCCGACATGTGTCCGGCTATCATTCACGGAAGTTGCATTTATCTTGCCTTTGCACGAAACTGTGACGGGCGCGTGCTTTTCAAAGACCCTTTGACTGTACACTTTAGCGACCATAAGGCTGAGATTATGGCCCTCAGATACAATGACAGCACCAACAGGTGCTGATGAATGCGTAAATAAATGGTTACGGTACAAATCCGTGTCTCGTCATTAATTTATGCCATTAAAATTACTACGCCCTCTACTCTCGGCGCAAGAAATGCATTTGCGTTTCCTTACGATTTCTTTCAGGGAGATGAGGGCATTTTTCATGCGCAAGCTTTACATTTGTTTCCAATTTCCTACTATCAGAAGTACTGTTTTATGTTTGATTTATAACATGTCTAGTATATGCAGGAAAATCTTTTGACATTGAAGTTCCTTTCTCTTTCAATTTGAAGTGGAGCAACTCTTTAGAATGTTAACTTTTTTCCCTGTGGTCGAAAAAACAATCACTGGCCTTTTGCCGTCCTGCCCATAAGCCTAGCCTATGAATTTGTTCGACTGGGTTTACGTTCATGTCTAAAGTAAGCCTGAACACATCATTAACTATGCTATCCATGAGGTCATCAAAGGAGTGATCGTTTTCCGGTATGCCGAACGCGGCGAGGTTTTTACGTCTGCTTCTATCTTCTAGATCAACAAGCTTGTGTTCTAAGACTTGAATCATTTTTTTAATGAGATCAAGTTTATCACTAAATTCATTAATTATACTAGAAGTTCCCTTCATGGTTTTCAATTTCAGTTCGATATGATCCTTTTCTGAATGTTGTTTCTACCTTGAATCAGCTGTGCCAACAATGCCGCATTGGAAGGCCCTAGATTGAATTCAATGTCCTCACATAACATCAGTTGTGACAAAAACCATTACTTGAATATTATAATACAGGGCATATAAATTGTGTAGGCATGTCAGCGGGACAAAATAAAGATTGCTAGTTTTAACAGATGATACTTTGTTCCCTGCACATAGTAACGAAGGAGCTTGATTAACGTGCTACAAGATGACCAGCTATCGTGCCCACTCATTGCAGCAGAATAAAATGTTGCATTATTACTTTTAGGGGTGAAGCTCCTAAAGTCGTTGGTTTGTCCTTCTACTGTGACCTGTTCATGACCGCCTAGTTTACGGATGACTCGCGTAGTGGCGCTAGTGTGAGTGACAAAGACAGACGGACGGACTGATTCACTATTTACCGATAAAACCTTCGAAAGCTTTGCGTCACTTATATTATTCATTCACTCCGTGGATATGCTGTGATTTGTTTTACTCTTAACTGAATCCACAATTTAGGGCATCTAATGATTGACTCAATTAGGCTACCTAAATTGGGTTGTGGGTAGATTTTACTAAACACATTGTAGTTTGCTGTGTAACAGCATGAATATGTTTGCAGATCACTAATTGTCACTGAATGAAGAAATGAAATTGAGGTTTTTGCAAGTGTGAGGAAGTAAAATTAATAACTTGGTTAACTTATTTATTGATTTAGTGATCAACTGTTGATTTGCCATGTTTGACATTAAAGAACCTTAGCTAGTTGAGATTTTTCGAACACTATACTATGGTGTCTCATAATCGTTTGGTGGCTTAGGGACATTAAGTCCTATAAGTCATAATATTATTGCTGTGTTTTGTGATATAGGGTTGACTTGACTTATGCATTCGTGTTTGTTCATTACTAAAAATGCGGACTCGTAACTTTGTTAGGAGGCTGCTGGCATTATCAGACACTGCATTGTTGTGGCACTGTGTCTTATTTTTTTTATATTACAATGACCTAGAATGCTGAGATAGTGCACAGTGCTCTTTAATAATCTTGTGATATGGGCTTTCCATCATATGCCACACCTTTGCGCTGTGGAATAGAAATAAAGCTTCAAGTGAGTGCCACAATGTTTGCCATGATAAGGTCCCTTGCTGCGTCTAAACTTCTATCACTCATTGCAGGTATGGAAGGTTGCTCGGAGCTGGAGGAACGGCCTTAGACAATGTTCTACTGTGTCAAAATCGTTCTATTTGGCTTGCAACAAAATGCATTTCTGTACTCTATGGAATGCATTTGTCATCGTATCTGTGTTTTGAATAAACACAAGCTGTATTTAAGTACCTCATTGTCTTCGCCAATTTTTCTGCTCAGTTGTGCATCAAAATGTCAAACCCAAGTTCCACGAGGTATAACCTAGGATAGATACACAGATAGCTTCAGTATATGTTCTTTTCCTGTTGTACATGGAAAGACAAGCTCATAGTATTAACTGAAAGACGGCACTCTTTCATGTTATTGCACGACACTTAATTTAATGAATGACTATGTATATCGCAAAATCTACTATAAGTTTTTTATTTGGTTCTATGTGCCTAGATTACCTGTGGTTCGTTATGCATAAATACTGTATTGACACGATTGTCAACTCAAATGTAGGTCGGCTCTTGAAAAAAAGTACTAGCACATTTTAAAAAAATATTTAGAGGTCTCCAAAACAAGAAAAACAGGAAAAAAAAAGCGATCGAATTCCAGTGTGTTAAAGTGGCTTTGCGGCAGTGCTTCAAAGCTATGCAGAAAAGCTAGCCTTGTCGAATTGGCGCAGAGAATATTTTTAAAGACTTTACTACCGAAACTAGTTTTCCATTCTCGGTCGACCTCACAACTTTGGATTTCAAATAAAGGCGACCTACAATCGGGTAAGTATGATACTATACCATATTGATAGTATCTCCACATTTTGCCACTGCAGACAGGGGCATATTCAGTTACCCATTCCTGACAAGGGTGAGGGTTGAAACCCTCCAACCCTGAAGTCTCGCTCTACCACTTGTGCTTCATTTTCTAGCTTGCATAGGTGCCCAAAAACTTTTCAGAATGGTCATTTTGATCCCAATGCTTTCAGGGACAACACTAGTAGCCACCACTGTTGACCCTTTTACTGCGGCAAACTCTGCTTTTGTTATATTTCTTGAGGATATCAGTGTAAACTTTAGAAAAATACTGCCTTCTACTCATCTATCCTTGCCCCTCCTCTTTGCACCTACGATTGGGCGGCTGTGGTTACATTCTTTTTTTGTGCTGTAGCGGTCCTAGGTTAAATACTAAATAGCACTATCAAATGATTTAGAACAGACGGGTGTCATCCACCATATATGATGATGATGATGCCTCCCCTGTGGCTAATGCCACTCATGGGGGATCGGCAAGAATTGGTTATATGAGCTCTTAGGCCTTTCAAGTAATAAATAATCCTAACAAAAGGAGGAAAGAACATGCTTAAATACAGAGTGCAATAACTGCTTTTTGCCATTTCGACCAGACAGTAAAATCTATATCTTGAATATAAATTATAGTAATATCAAACACACTCAAAATTTGTTTTGAATTTGTTTATTAATGCTCTAATAATACATATACAAACAGGAATTTAGAGGCACATTCATTTGGTTTCATAAAGATTACTGCAAACAGCATCAAAGGTATTCCTGTGGCTGAAGCCCAAGGCCCAAGTACCAAAGGTAAGTATACAGTCAATGGCGAAGGTCGGTTCTAGGTTAGCGAATGGTATGACAAGGAGATGTTTTCTTATCAACCTGCAATGATGACATACAAAAAATAGTGCTCTACTGATTCCATGTCTGATCAAAAGCTACACAAAGGGATATCAACAGACCAGCCCTGTGCGAATACTATAGGTTCAGCGGAGGCACAAGACATCGTAATCTAGTTATCATGACTTCCAATTGTCTAGTGTGACACCACTCAACTTTCCATTGAAATTGGAAATGTCTAAATTCTGACCATGATGTTACTTATTCTATGGCATCTGCACAGAGTGAAAATTTTCTATATCTTATCGCAGTTAAACTGGCCACTACCAGAACGACAGAAAGTATTGGTCCATTCAATGCCGCTTGAGCTAATGAGTTTGCCATTCCATTTAACTCAAATCTACAATGGCCAGGTACCCATAATAACATTAAAAGCTTCAGCTATGGAGGAACTAGCATAATCAACGTCTTTAAGGCATTTGATTTAGATGATGCTGTGATACTGGCAGGGAATCTAAAATTATTATAGCAGTATGGATGTTCAAATTTAGTTTCTGTAGTGCTGGAATAATTGCCTAGAGTTCAACTTCAAGAACACGAGTTGAAGTCTGGTAGTCTTGGTTAAAACGACCAGCCAAGTGAAAACGAGTAAATACCTACTCCTACGTTTTCGTCTATAACTAAAGCTTCTGTGGCTGCAACATTACTTGTTTCCATGTGTGCAAAGTAATCTTGCAACAGGCTATTTACGATTCTGTGTGTTGAAATTTAGGCTTATAGGGGGAAATCTCATTGTATTCTATGATAACATTTTTATTTGACACATTTGCTGCTGACACATTTCGAATCTTCACGTTTATCTTGTCTAGTTGCTTCTGAACAAAAATAATTTGTGGTATATAAAACCGTGGGCAATGAGCAAGGGAATGGTGTCTAGGTTTTTGATGAATACACGTTCTGATTGTCTTAACAAATAGCCATTAAATTTTAGAAATGTCTGCACCATCAGGGTACGGGATCGACTAGTCGATTTGTGCAAGCGCACTTCCCAATACAGAGCATTGTTCACTACAAACTGGGGGAGTCCTAGACATAGTCGCAGGGTTTCACACTCCAGCACAATCAAAGGCTTAAGTTTGTGAGCAGGGCCATTCGAGAACAATACGCACCCAAATTGTAGTATTCGACCCATGTAGATTTTATAAATTATCACCAGCGTGTTGTTCCTGCGTAAACCATAGCGTCTGCTGGTCAATCTGCACAAAAATGCCTGAGGCGCGTGCCATACTCTCTATGTGAAAATTCCAGCTTAATTTGTCATTATAAATCATTCACAAATTTTGAGCGTCTCAACCTGTGGAATCGGCTCGTTTAGTATAACAAATTGTAATTGAGATACGCTCTGTTAATGAAAATATTAGCAGTGCCCTTTTGTTTAAATTTAATGACATGCATATTTTATCTAGCCACATGTCCGTCAAATTCATATATCACTGCAGTTTTTTATATAAAGAATGAATGTCGCTGTCTGCTGCAAAAAAGGCAATGTTATCAGCATACACGTATACTTGCACATCCTGGCAGTGGGGGATTAAACTCGTTAAGATGTTAAATAAAATTGTGGACAAGACAGCCCCTTGGAAGACTCCGTGAGTTTGTCCAAACTTTGACCAAGCGCAGCCATTCTGAAAGCAATAAAATTCTCTTGTCTTCAAAAATTCCCTCAACCACACGATAATGTACTTTGGGAAATCGTGGCTCAGAGAGATCTCCGATAACATGAAGTCCACACTGTCATATGCTTTGGCTAAGTCTAAAGTCACTAGAGCATCATGTTGCCTTCTTTTGCGAGCAAGCTGAATGTGGCTTTCTAAATCTGCGTGAGCACACCATAAAGAACAGTGTTCTCTGAAGCCAATTTGATTAGGATTTAATAGTTCATTTCCACTGTCCAGCTTGTCATTCTCTTACGAAATGCCCTCTCAACAAGCATTACCATATTAGAAGTAAGAGAAATTGGTCGTCTATTTTTTATTTTATAGCCTAACCCTTGTTTCTTCCATATCGAAATTGATTTTGCTAATTTCCAAGTGTATGGAATCCAGGTGTGTCTTAACGAATAATTTACAGCGTTCAGGAGGTCACCTGGTGATAATTTAAATAATTATAATTTTGTCATGGCAGCTGTAATTTCGTCTGAACTGGGAGCTGATGAGGGTAAATTCTGAACAACCTGAGCTAATTCTTCCAATGTAAAGGCTGGTGCACACCAGCGACTAGTAGCGGTCGTGAGACCATTTGCGACTGGCGACCAAAAAGCGACTGATGTTCACACCGGCAGAGGCTGCATGCGAGCGACCGGAAGTCGCAATACCGGAGAGGCACGTCCGGATCTCGTTATCAGGGAAAACTCTAGAGACCGGCGCCAGTCAGCTGACTGCCGCCAGCTGAGTGATCGGAGCAAACCGAGCGCAGCGCATTTTTTGTTTTTATTCGTTCTGGTCAGCACAATTAAAAAACAAACAAAAATTGAACATCGCTGATTTGTTCCAGAAGCTGTGTGACCGCAGTCGCGCGACTGAAAAATCGGTCGGGCAGCGACTAGCCAAAGCAGTCGCTTTGCGACTGTTTGCGACCGTTCACGACTATTTGCGACCAGTCGCAAATGGTCGCGCGACTGCTGCTAGTCGCCGGTGTGCACCAGCCTTAAGTCTAGTAAAATCGGTTGTTACCATTGGAGGTCTCAAATCGTACAACTTACTTGATGTAAATCGACACTCTAGACCTTTTGGTAAGATTTACAAAGATTTTCTCATCTCATCGGGCAACATCATTTCACAAGCTACATTAGTTTAAGATGGCAGAATTTCACGCGATCCGAGGAACCTAAACAGGGCACTCTTGTTCTTAGGGTTCAAAAAATAGTCTTGTTTTCTATTATATTCCTCTTTAGCTAAAGAAACTGTGCGCTTTAAATTTACAGCATAAGGCTTGTAATCAGACCAATTTCGGGGACACTGATCATGCAGAAGTTTTTTCCATGCGGCCTGTCATCGTCGGAAATCCTGTGCACAATCTGAATTCCACCACAGACTGTGATTTGCACTTTTTGCATATTCAACTATGTTCGAATTCAGCTTTTTTGTACTTTATTTTGACTAATGCGCATAGTATCATGGCTTTTGTGTCTTCTGCCTCTTCAGAGTGAATGGTCAAGTCATATTCTAGATCTTTTTTAATTTTGTTGTAATTTATAAAAACTGGATTCTGATTGCATGACGATGTTATAGGACAAACAACATCAAAAATATTATTGGCAAGTGATTGCCGTTGGTGGCACACTCCAATGCGATTCATGACCAACAAGTGAGGGAAGAACCAACAAAACTTAAATCCAATGAAGAGTGAGACATAGCACTAGTAAAAGTAGGTGTGCGGGAATTCAGGCAAGATAAATCGTTATCTGGTGTCCACTCCCACAATTGTTTACCACATCAAGCGGTTCCGAAACCCCTATAGTTATGGTGTGAGTTGACATCTACCATCAAAATTTTATCTGTACAGCGAGA